GAATAACCTACTTTTTATCTCGAAACAAAGGTCAGACAGAGACCTCTTCATTTTAAATGAACTTTATTTATTCAATGCATGAAGAAAGTTGTGAGGAAGTTTTTAGGCCTTCTTGACGTATGTTTGAAAACATATATCCATCCCCACACCGTCCAGAAGCATGGCTTTAGATGACAGAGAAGTGTTTCTTCATATTGTATTGTGGAATGTGAGGCTGTCCAGTCTGGTAGGGTTATTGACATTTTGGAAGAATGTACTACCTCCATCTTCAGGGTACAAGTAACAAGACAGAATTATTTAATTTAATACAACCACAAGAACTGTCACATTTTATGTTAGATGAAGTGTAGCATAAAATTATCCATGTTGAGGGGGAAGGGTACAGGATTTATAAAAAGAAAACACTGTTAACGTTAAGTTTTGGCTGTGAGCAGGATCACTGAATATAGGAACTGGGGATGCAAATATAGTGTGTCCCTCTTCTTTATTTTGACTTTGCAGAAGGGGTGGATTGAGGAGAAAATATGTGCTTTATTTTCTTCTATATACCTTTTGAAACATTTTCCCCTGTGATAAGTATTTAGCGAGATACAACTTAATATTTTTATGTGAAGTAGTTCTTGAGCATCTTATTTCATGAAAAACCAATCCAGTTGTACTGAAGTTGTTGCATGTGGGCAGGCTGAGCAAACTTAGTAGGTGACATTCCCTGAGTTGTGAACATGTCAAAATAAATGGGCATGGATAAGATGCAAACCAGGTAATCAGAACATACTGAGCTTGTCTGCTTTAGGAGTATGTGTGGGATCTGGCATTAATATATATACCAGATATATGCAAGATATGCACAAAAATCTATCTTTTATATTACATGAGAAATGGTTAGGTAGACATAAAAACCACACCCATACCTGAAAAAAGGAACCTTTTGTGTGATTTCATGCAATTCTTGTGTATGGTCTGAATGAACATACTTTCATGAAGTGCATGTATTGTCCCCCCCCCCCAAGTCAACATTGTCCTTTCAGAGAGAAATTCTTAATTATTATTTTTGATTACATAAATTAGAATTTTTATTGAAAATCTCCGTTTGGTCACTACGGAATGACCTGAAAGGCCATTAGGAGCAGTGAACAGTTTCAATGAATCTAGTAGCTGCACAATTCTAAACTGTAAACAACTTATGCATTTTGCATCATATAATGTTAGTATATTATTACTATTTATTTACAATATTTTTTTCCAGCTTGGCTTAGCATTTATATGACCACTCCAAAGAGTTTCCATAACAAAATATCCACCACACATTATTCGGTTATATATACTACACATCCAAAACACTATTCTTCTGTCTTGAACTTCCCACTGTAATAGGGCATATACTGAAGTACCGCCTTCCAGTCCGTAAAATACAGCAATCCTAGACCCCCTGCTGCTCCAAATGTTGCCAAAGAGGGTAGCCTGTAATTAATGGTGTTTTATAAAATAACAGCGTTCCCTAGTACATAAAATATCAATTTAATTTGGTTTCCTAGGATACTTACCAACGAGTGGCTAATTCGATATGTCTTTTGCCTATCTGCCGAAGTATAGACATGATTATTATGCTGCTAGTTGCAATTCACCTAAGGCAATTTAGTCCTTCCAACTCTGTATTTTTACTTTGACCGTAGCCTTCCGGCGCTTCCGGCTCCGACCCTACTCACTGCACTACCAATATTACGGGCCAAAATATAGGTCAGAACGGTCAGAACTGCGACAACTGCGACAGTCATTTTATGTTATAATGCGATCAGAACAAGGAAGAGAGAAATTCTTGCAGGCAGACAACCGTTAAAATAGAATTTCTCATCATGTATTCTGCAATATTGTAATACTAATTTACGTTTGTCATGTAGCGGAATGTGTGAAAAGTAACATAGCCGTTGATTTTCCACAGGTTTATTTAAGAAGTTACAAAACGCTGCACACCCCTGCTTATGTTCAGCGAATCTACGGCAGATACAAGCGGAAGATGAATGGTCCCGTTATGTGCACTCATCTCTCCGACGATCTATGCAATTGATCCAAAGATCATAGGGGTGCTGCAACACACTGTGCATGTGCATCTACAAGAGCCAGCTAAAGGAGTGATTGCAGAATTGCAAGACTAAAAAAGATTTTCATCTAACGACAGGTAAGCACAAACCATCTAACACATATTCTGTAGTTACACAGATATATATCACGAGCAAAATTTAACACATAAGTTACATATTCTAATCACTCTTTTAGAACCTTCAGTTTAAATACTCCGCCGTTATGTGAATAGTTTCGGCGGGAATTATAGATTAGTGGATTTGCCATCTCGACTTTGGCTTGGAGACTTGAGATTTCGGTCCATCTTGGTCATAATTTTGAAATATCCCAGTTTTCAGGCATATTAGGTTTCATTAGCAGACTGTATAACCTAAACGTCTTACATGTGGTTTACGGTATTTATAATGAGTATGTATTGTAACTGAACATTGAACTCTGATCAACACTTTCATAAGACTGTAGACTAATGCTGATGAAACAGTCGCACTCAGAACGTCTCAGGACGCTACTGTTTCGTATTCTAGAGGTTCCCATATCAAATCTCGGCTTGGAGACGGCTGTTCTTACCGGCATATTGCGTTTGTTTCCTTGCAGATCTTTAAGATTTCTGGGATAGGAACTGAAGGTAGGTCACCACCGCCACCAGTTTGTTATTCACTAATCATTCTCTTATTCACCGCTATGTAATCTGTAGCGTAGTTGGTTCAGGGGCTATGCTACAAGCCGGAAGGTCGCGGGTTCAAGTCTCGATGAGGTCATTGGATTTTTTTCAATTGACCTAATCCTTCCAGCCGCACTATGGCCCTGGGGTCGGCTCAGCCTCTAACAGAAATGAGTACCAGGAATTGATTAAATAATTTTCCTGGGGAGTAAAGGGCGACTGGCGCGTAAGGCTGACAACCTTACCGCCTTCTTTGAGCCGATTGTCTAGATAATGTGAGACCTTCAACGTCTCAACCCTATGGGCCTTCACGGCCTGGTACAGGGATAGCTTTACTTTTTTTTTTTTTACTTTTTATGTAATCTGAGCTACAGACAGTGTCGTTTGAAATAATAAGACATCCCATATTCAGATGGTGGGTTTGTTAACAGCCAAACATTGTTATAAAAGAAGTAAAATCTTCAAGGAGTTTGCATAACATCCAGGGCCGCGCCATAGCTTAAGCGGTTAGTCACTGGCTTCCCACCGTGGCGGCCCGGGTTCGATCAAGTGGGATTTGTGGTGGACAAAGTGGCGCTGGGGCAGGTTTTCTCCAAGTACTTCGGTTTCCACTGCCATTCTTCATTCCACCAATTGCTCCACAATCACCCTCACATATCATCTGGGGCTGGTACAATAGGCCAGTAGTGGCCGCAGTGCAAGGGACTTAGTCCCACCCCACTAGCAATAATAATAATAATAATAATAATAATAAAATGCAGAACATCCAAACATTGTTATAAGAGTGAGATTACTTTTACTAACTTTCTTTCCCTATTTTGAAAAATAAGAGCGGAATTATGAGATCACCTTGCTGACTGTGTCTGTCCCCCCCCCCTCCCCCGGGAGGTTGCTGAGCAATGGCAAGGTAAACATATCGCGCCACAACAAATACAGAGGCAACAAAAGAACTGGACACTTCTTCTGTGCAGTCCATGTTGTATCGAAGGAATGTAGGTGATTAGTTCTTCCCAGAACTGTTTATTTATTTATAGTTTAATTAGTGTGTACCTTGTTTATTGTATGTACTTTGTTTTGTATTTTTCCCTTTATGTATAGTCCTTCCTTTTCTGTATCAGTGTAAGATCTACTGCCACCGCGTGAACACCCAATTGCAGTAAAGAAGTAACAATAATAATAATAATAATAATAATAATAATAATAATAATAATAACAACAATAATAAACACTGTCGGTAGCACAGACTATATGGAAAGGATTTGGAAGAAAGAGGTCCTGTAATAAATTTGAAGTGCTTTCCCAGGATTTGCCTCAAGTAACTGAGAAAACCACTAAACGTCTCAGGATAGTTGTCTTATTGGCTTCTCTAAATTACCAGTCCCAAGCGTTATAGTGTTTAGGAGTCAACTTGCTCTGTTATAAAAATGAGGCTTATTTAATTAACCCTCCAAGTATTTCTTGCTGTCTTAAAATTTGACTCTGTATTATCTGAGCTACTAAAAGCATCATTAAACAAATCACAAGTAAACAAAAATAATTCTGCTGTACAGTTGTCAGTGTTGCATACTACAAACTATTACAGCTCACTTAAAAATGGATGAAAGATGAGGAAGTCGATCTAAATTGTACATGCAGTGCATGAGGTGTGATGCTTGGTAGCAGCGTTCTTATCTGGATTCATTTGGCATTTGAGAAGATCAGTGATAGGAACTGTCTTTAATGATTAAGGAGGTGCACTATCTGTGGCTTTTAAATGGTAGAAACTATCCGTTATCATGGATGCATATTAACAAGTAGAGTCTAAAGGGTTCTGACAATGGTGTATAACACACAAAATTACTGGGATTTTGGACTTTTTCCATCGTCCACTATTCTAGAGACTAGAAAACACGACGTTTCAGGAACTGAATCTGTTTCCATCCTCGGGTGAGAGGGGGAAGACACCTACTCATTTGGGTCCCTTGGAGCCAAACTCAATCACTGAACAAAGTGATTGAGTTTAACTTTTTCTTAGGGACCCAACTGAGTAGGGGTTTTTCCCTTCTCACCCGAGGACGGAAGCAGATCCAGTTTCTGAAAGGTCGTGTTTTCTAGTCTCTAGAATACTGGACAATCGAAAAAGTCCCCAAACGCAGTATTTCTGAAGATCCTGAAATATAAAACACCTTGAAAATAGAGGGATGAAGAGCAATTTATAGCTCCAAGACATGTCTACAGGAACAGAACATGTAGATTGTTATGCAATCTAATTGATTCTATATAGTTGTGCTACAAAATATAATCTGCAATATCATTACAGTGTTAGCAAACTTATAAATATAAATAACACTTCATACACACAAAACACATACACATGAACACACAGCACATAGGACATTTGCTGCTCTACCCTCATGGGGAAAAGTTGAGCGAAATCAGTTTGTGTTTGGCAACAATGGAGAAACATTACCACATCTCTGTATCTGTTTAGTCAGAGAAAATATTAACACTGGTAGCCATTATGATGACAGCAATACTGGGCCTCTAAATTGTACTTCTCCAAGTATTTATCGTTGAATCCCCAAACACTTGTATGTTTTGTAGATCAGTGAGGCTGTTGTAGTTTTAGTTGATTCTGCATCTCGTGGTGTCTCAGAGAATTAATTGAATGTCAAATGTATACATTGTTAAATTTATCTAAGAAGTGCCTGAGATAGATCACAGACACCAGTATAGATATCGGTTTGGTTCTTTACAGCTATATGCACTTTCAGATAATCATTCTTCAGTGAAGGACACCACTTACAGATGATAGTTAAATTAGTCTCTTAGATTTGAAAAAAGCTTCTTAATCTGTTGAGAACTGATCAATGTCTGAATCCTTTGTCTTTGTCTTTATGCATCGACCTCTGTAGCATATTTCTGTTTCGTGTGAAATCTTGGTGGAAGTTGTAGTACCCAGAATCCGTGCCATGAGAGATTGAGTGTCTGTTCTTTTTATACTTGATTCAGAGGTTAACGGAACACTGGATTCTGAACTGTACTCATTATGATAAGGCGTTTTCTTTGATTCAGAAGAAATTGTTTTATCTGTCCCAATGATATTTTCATCTGGAATACTTTCTGTGCTCAAAATGTTCTCGGCAGAAGAAGGGACAGCAAACTTAGTGGAAGTTGACAAAATGCTAGCCTCTGTTGCTGGACTGTGAGAAGGCACTCCCTTCAAGTTGCTGTGAGCTGATGTTGTTGATTCAGTTAGGCTCTGGTCTGACTGCTCGGTACTCATCTTGTGAAATTGTCTCATGTCAACATCATTTCCTGCGGTAGGTATATCTGTACCTGGTAGTGTGTCTTCAGGTGATGCTGCCAGGACATCTGGGATGGAACTTACTTCAGGCTCAGTCTCTGCATCTTTGAGCTTCACTTGCTTGTCACTGTAGAGGTTTTGGGGATTTGCCTTTTTAACTGAGTGCTTGTTACTTTGGTAGTATTTGTGGAGATCTTCCCATACCTGATAGCTGGGATAATCTTCCAAGGTAGATGGAGCTGTGCTATTTTCTGTTATCTGAGTTGTTTTTCTTGACAGACTTGTGTTAGTAATCCTGCTGACATCATCAGTAGAGTCATCTGAATCCTCATACTCTCTGAAACCGGCCATGTCCCAGATGGAAGTACTGTCTGGGAGCTGCTTCTCAGTCTCCTCAGGAAGTTTTAATTGTTCATCTGTGTAATATGGCCTGTGATTGGCGTATGTCTTGGCCCACCAGTCTTCATAGCCTCCCCAGTTGAGGTTCCTGTCAGAATCTTTCCCCGATTTACCATAATATGCTTTAGATGACAGTAAAGAACCACCATATGAATCCTGCTCTTCAGGCCATAATGTAGTCATCTCTTCTGGAGACACTGTTGTTATACTGTCATCATCATCATAATCATCGTCATGTTTGTTGCTCAACGGGTCCGTTGTCATTCTAGGTGGGTCTTGGGTCAATGAATCTTTCAGACTGCTGGAAGGAATTGTCCAAGAGGAATTTGCCTTCTTGTAAATTTGGTCTCCATTGTCCTTTTTGTCCTGATTTCTGGAAAATTTTGCCACCAGTTCAGATGATCCTTCTTGATTCCACATATCATATAGACTGCTGGGCGGTACTAGCCAGGAAGAGAAGTCAGTGTTGTCATAGTCATCCTGAATTCTGACAGATTTGGTCACATCCTTTTCTGTAGTTCCTTCATTACTAGAATTTACATTGGAAGAAGGACCGGTCACTCCCGGTGCATCTTTATGAACCGCATGCTTACTTATGCCGTCCAAATTTTCGTAACCATGACTATCGAGTGAAAGGGACGGTTCTTCTTTGTCTGTTGTGACGGTGTCATTATTTGGAGATTTGGTCTCAATCCCGACTGTAATGTTGTCCTTCATGAAACCGCTTGGAACATTCTGGAAGTTCAACGTAACTCCTTGATGCCCAAGAACTTCTATGGCGCTGGAAGACTCAGTCATCTCTTTGGTTGCATCATGAGTCTCAGAACTTCCATGGCTGCTGGAAGAGGTTGGTGAATAATTTTCAAGAACATCCTGATCACCTGTGTTCTTTGCCACTTGCTTAAACGTACTTTCTCCTGGGATCTGATTTGCTTCTGCTACTGTGGCCAAATTCTGAGATTCTGCTGTCTCAAAAATATCTTTTTGTGGTCTTACTCGGACTCGAATCCAGTTACCCCTTCGACGACTGTGAACGGGCTGTAATGACAGTAAAGAAAATAATGAGAGTATGGACAGATGTCTGTTCGTTTACTGCCCTAAAGTTAAATGTTTTAGTAACCTGCTAATTGAAGCATATTCATGCATTTAATCGCTTAGGATATGGGAGGAACAAACAGAAGCAGTTTGATGGTAGTACTCAGAACAATTGCTTTCTTAACTAATAAACAAGAATGGATAGAGAGATAACAGATGGATAGTTGAATACACAAACGTACAAAATGGCTAAAGGAAAATAGAAAGAAGTTTAAAAAAGGAACAAAATTAAGTAATATAGTTGGACAGACAACTAGATAGAAAGTTATGCAGACAGATTTTTTAAACCTAAATCCAGTGTTGAGGAAGAAACACCCTCACGTACCGAGCTGATCTCAGTTGTAGTGCTGAAACCGGGCAGCGTGGTCAGCAAGAGAGGTGCTGCCTCTGTGGTTGACGCGATCGTCCCTGTGGTGCTGTCTGCTCCCTCTGTCGTCACAGACACTTCTGTTGCCACTTCCAACTGAGTGTTACTGTACTTGGACACGTTCGGGATGACATTGCTAGAGTTATGGACCAGAGTTCTGGTTGACCATTGGCTCTCTTCTCCACGCTCCGGATCATTAGCACCATACCGGGCTTGATTGCCAGATGGGAGGGAAGTTTGATCTGCCACCCTGAGGTGTTCAACTGACTGGTGCTGCTGATGATACTGTTCACTGGGCCTGTATTGTTGAACTGGTACCTGATGCTGTGGTATTGAATGGTAATGTTGGTCTAGCTGATGCTGCTGAACCGGCTCCTGATGTCGCTGTATTGCCTGATACTGTTGGTCTAGCTGATGCTGCTGAACTGGCTCCTGATGTCGCTGTATTGCCTGATAATGTTGGTCTAGCTGATACTGCTGAACAGGTACCTGATGTTGCTGTATCGCCTGATACTCTTCATGAGGCTGATAGTGCTGAACAGGTTCGCGATAATGCTCTACTGACTGGTGGTGTTGTTGTTTCTGTTGAGTCTGGAGAACCGGGTCATACTGTGGCTGTACAGAGATCTGGATCCCACGTGCGGTGGGGATTACTTCCGTCGTAAAAACATCGGGGACCTCGTTCAGCCTGTGGTCCGATGGCGTCGTCAGGGTAGAAATGGTAGTTGCTGGTGGACGCGTTGGACGCCGGATTCTGGCTCTCGTCGTCAGCTTAGTCTGAGATTGCTGTGATCGTCTGGAAGGACGTACCGTGTAAACCTGAAATTGTACATGGCCAACTGATTACTTTGCGCTGTTAGACAAGCTGGAAATTTTGAATTCAGAAAGAGTGCCTTTGTATAGCTGTGTAGTGGCCAGATTATTATGAGGGAGAGTCTGTAAACAGACCACAGATGGATACAAAACGTAAAATGTGATATTTGAACATGGACAAAACTTTTGTTTCTCAATATATCCTCCACCAACATTGATACACTTGTCCCGTAGCTTTACCAGTGTGTCGAAACCGCAGCATAGAAGTCTTTTGACTGTTGTCTCGGACACTTCCGCACCTCCATTTCATCATCTATGACTTTCGAACGTCCTTGAGAGAATTTCTTGTCCCAGTTGTGAACCTCTTTACACGACAAACACTTCCCACCATAAACAGGAAACATTTATTTAGGAACATCCTTTTCTACGAGTCCTTTTGCCCACAGAAAACACAATAGAACACTGCTCTTCGGTAGCACACTCCTCAAGCACGGTTGACATTTTGACTATTGAAACCAGCCTCTGAACATATGTATGCGCGTCTACTACCTAGACTCTCATGAAGCTGGATTGTGCTCCTACAGAAAGATACATATAGAAAACATATTTCATCAATCCCGTTGTGACCTATTTACTGATTATCCTTCCTACTTGCCTAAGCTAACTGAATTGTAGTGTTTTTCTTAAGGATATCTGTGTAAAGGTGTACAGTGGTCGGTTGATTATTTTTCTATGCTAAATTAATTATTTATCTTATTGGTATTTCGATGATATGGTACAGAATGATTAGATCACGGTGAATAATGAATTGGAACATATGCGAAAGGAAATGATCGTGGCCTACCACAAGTTACAATCACCGGATTTGCATTGGGAACAGAAGGAAATCACGAATACATTAGACAGAATAGGCATCTCAGCCAAGATTTGAGCCGGGCATCTCCTGAATACTAGTCAGAATCGTTAATGGTTGAACCAGTTTGCTCGGTGTCTTACCTTGTCGTTGAATGGTGTCGTAGTTTCTGAAGGAGGTGTAGTAGTTAGTGCTTGAGTCTTCCTTGCTGAGCCTCTGTTGAGGAAGTTAGTCTGTTTCCTTCCCACAGTGGTAACTTGTAATTCAGGTGTTGCCGTGGCAGTTGTGGTTATTTGGTCCCCAGACTGTTGAACTATTCTTGGTCGCCCACGTACCCTTCCCCGGATCCTTACAAATGACGGTTTCTCTGTCACATCTCCATCCTGTCCCTTTGCACCTCTGTTTGAAGTAACGAGCTGAGGATCTCCCTGCCCTGTGTACTTCCCATCAAGGGTTTGTGATGGCAGCGTTGTTTGATATACAACGCTAACTTCCTTTGTTCGATGCTTGGTGTGTGGTAATGCGGAATGCTGGCGCTGGGTGGTAGACACTGGAAGTTCTTGAAGGAAGATTCCATCTGGTTGGAGAACTTCAATATTTGACAGCGCAGGAGCTGAGGACAGGTGTTTGCTACCTGTCGATGTTACAGGCTGCCTATCGGAGTAATCGGGAACCTTATGAACTGCTGATTGAGAACTAGGGACCTGACTATAGACCGCCTTTTCCCTGATAAGCTGGGTGCTTCTTACGTTTTCACTTGGAACCTGATTGATGACCACATGTCCATTAGGCACCTGACTTTGACTCAATTGTCCACTTGAAATGTGTTGTCTGACTATTTGCGCGTTTTGGATTTGGGTCTCATTCAGTGCTTCAGACTGAATCTGTGAGTGACTACTCTGTCCGCTGTGGAGCTGAGGGTAATCCACTTCATGTATTGGGGCCTCATCATGGGCTGTTTGTCCAATGGAAATTTGTTGTTGAGACTCACTTCTATTTGGGACCTGCCAAAAAGCACCTTGTTCATTAGCAATCTGGCTATGAGATACTTGCTCATTTGGAATTTGGATATAAGTTAATTTTCCACCTGAATTTGATCCGCTGGGTAAATGTGTGTTAAGTACCTGGCTACTTGAAAATTGATTCTGGGGTATTGGTCCACTATGTCTTTGGGATAGTTGACTACTTGGAGGCTGTGTAAAGCCCGGTTGTCCAGTTGGGAACTGAGTATGGGTCACATGACCACTTGGGGACTGCTGTTGATATACTGACGCAAACTGTAGAAAATTTTCAGTTACAGTGTCCGTTCTTGAGTGTTGGGCCACTGTCGTAGGAGTGTACAGGTCACCTTGGTGCAGGTCTCTGTTGTATTGTGGTGACACTGTCGTGGTAGTTGTACTTCTTCCTCTACTGCGAGTTCGAGTCCTGTCTCTGCGCTGGGTCTCAAATTGAGACTTCTGTGGGTGTTGGCGGCTGCTCTCGAACGTATTGATTTGATCTGCGGAGGCTGGCACATCAGGGGTTTCTGATGTGGTTCTCGTGACAGGACGGCGTCCTCTTGAGTATGGTGATCGAGTGCGCGGGGCTGGAGTTGTTGTGGAAGAGCTCGAAGGCCGATATCTTCCCCGGCTTCGTCCCCTAGAAGGTGTTTCACGCGTTGGGGCTGCCGTTGTGGTAGTTGTAAGAATCAAATCTGTTAGAACCTCTGACTCCAGAGTCGGGTATTGGGATTGGACCGTTTCGGGTGAAACTGTATACTGTGTATCACGTGATGGTATATCCTGCGGAGTAGAATATGTTGGTTGTTTTTCTGTAACAGCTGTTTTTGTAATTTGATATTGTGACTGAATGGATGGGACTTTCTCCTGGGTAACAGTCTGTTTAGACGTCTTCTGTTGATTTGCTGTGTCTAATGAAGGGTATTGGAATCTGTGTTGTGACACTTTGTAAATGTTTTCATCCCCACTTTCTGGACGTAACAAAATGTCTTGTGCCGTATGATAATTTTCTGATTTTGCTGGTGCTGATACTTGCAGGACTGTATATTGTGGCTCACGGTGTGGACTCTGTTCCTTAGGAATATCATATTTTGTGTTTACTGGAGCAGCGGTTTCTAAAACTGGGTAATCTTGTGACATATGTATCGATGGTTTTCTTTGAGCACTTTTTTCTAGTTCTGAATGTTGAGGTTGGCGAAGTGCAACGTCCACTGGCGTTTCATATTGTGATGGTCTTGTTGATGATTCTAGAACTGGATATTGTGTTTCTCTTTGTGGACTGATGTCTTGTGCTGTCGTATATTTTGGAAGCCCTGAATATGGTTCCAAATTCAGTGGTCGTCGCGATGGTATTTCTGCCCGTGTGGTGGTGTATTTTGGTTGAACATAAGTGTCTGTTACTGTATATTTTGCTTGTTGTGTAGGAATATTTCCCTCAGGAATTGTATACGTTGGCTGTTCTGTTATAACCACTGACTCTAAATGTGGATATTGCACTTCCTTTGGAGGGACGTTATACGCTGCTTGTTTCTCCGGAACTGTTGCATCTGATGTGACATACTGTGACTGCTGCGTTGAACTTTCCTCCTGTGAGTTATAGTATTCTGGGGTCAGTGTCCTGAGCAGGCTTTCTTGAGGGCTCAAAGGGCTTGTCTTATATGCGTGTACCTGTGATTTTGTATATTCTTCTTTTGAGAGTGTGTCCTCAGGATATTGTGGCTGACGAGGTGGATTTCGAATTGCTGTTTGTGGCTTGTGTGTTGAAATTTCTGCTTGTATGAGGCCATGGTGCGACTGTTTTGATTGTTCTTCGAATTCCGGATATGGAGGCTGACGTGTTCTTGTCTTCTCTAAGTACTGTGGTTGAACTGTTGTTACAGTTACTGGTTGATATTGTGTTGATGGTTGTTGGAATCGATGTCTCGTTTGTTTATTGGGTAACCTGGCAGATGTGGTTGTGACCTCTGTATCCTGGTATGGTTGTCGGGACTGCTTTTTCCTTGTGTATCGCTCCGTTGAAGTTTCCAGTCCTACGTGTTGAGCCTCCTGTTTCTGAGGCACGAGCAAGACATGGCGTTGGTCCTGAAGAGAGTTTACCAGTGAAGCTAACTCCGGGTTTATTGGTGGTAGCTGAGGGGGTAGACTATAGTGCTTTCTGGTATGGATTTTTTCATGTAGTACATTCTCTGTGACATTGCTCACAACCACAGAACCTACATGTGGAGCTGGAAATGGGATTTTAGAATATCCAGGTGGAGGCGTGAAGCTCAGTGGTGCCACAAAGAATGGGGGCTTGTTCACTTTCCTCTCGACGCGGTTGGACTCGAGTGCAGATAAGTAGGGAAGCTCAAACTTGGCGTAACCTTCGGGAGTGTGCAAGTCAGAAGGCCCAACAAACACCTGTGGTGAATCGGGCCCTACTGTATCTAGCACTGATATTGTCTTAGCATCCTTTAACACTTTAACCACATCTGATATCTTGATGTTATGACCTTTTGGGCCCATGTATACGGACAATGGTGGCTGGTAGGGCTCGAGTGTGGTGCTAGGATGTTCGGTTGTAGAGCTTGACTTCAGGTGTTCCTGTGTCAGTTGCTGCTGTTGTTGCAACAGGGCCGCCGCCTGCAACAGGATGACTTGTTACTCTTTGGGACTGAAATGTGTTCTTTTTAACTGCCAGTGGGAAATCAGGTCATGTGTGAGAAATTTTAAATCAAACTAGTGAAGTGTTACATGTGTACCTCAGACCTTTAACTGTAAATTCATCCAAGTGTCTATTGCAAATTTTAATTTTGAATTTTGAGTTAGCTCAAATTCTCATGCCTAAAACATTCAAAATATCGATAACTCCAAGTCTCCTTCAAGCTCAGCTTGACATTTTTATGCACATATAATTTGCCTGCCAGACGAATTTCTTTATAGCTTTGCAGGTAACACTTTGGAGCCTTCTCTCTAATTATACGACATGTTGGTTTTTTCTTGAGTAAAGACATGCAGCACTTTTGTACAGATGAAACAGCCCGTCTAAAGAGGACGACATTTTGGTTAGAAAATATGGTCTTTATTAATGACAACTTGGCATAGAAATACTACCCAGCATAAGAAACTTCGCAAATTACATCTATCCCTTTGGTTTATACACTTCAAATACCCAGTGACATTTATAGCGATATAACATATAAGTTAATTTCTTTCAAGTATTCAAATTCATTATAATACAGTATATTAGTATTATAAACCTGTGCCTAAAAAGCAAAAGACTGTATAATGTATTGCGGTTCGGTTTTTACCTGCTGTTGCTGACGCAGAGTTTCAACAGGCACATACAAGAGCTGTACCTCTTCCTGGGGTGCAGGCCCAACTGTGGTTGAGGTTGGTGGCCTCCTGGTCCGCTGTGGCACTTTCTCATGTCTGTGATTCAAATGTGGAGCCGCCAGCTGTTGGGCTGCTGACGGCTGCTCTTTGCTCACTTGAGTCGCTGGTATCTGTTGGTAACTAGGCTGAGGAGACACTACTTGTTGACCTGCAGATGTCTGTTGGTGATTTGGCAGGGGAGACAGTAACTGCTGGGCTGCAGACGTTTGTTGGTGAATCGATTGAGGAAATGTTAGTTGTTGAGTTGATGATTGCAGAGGATTACTGAGTTGAGGAGACACTAGCTGTTTTGATGCTGATATCTGTTGGTGACTTAACTGAGGAGGTGTCAGCTGTTGAATTATAGACGGCTGTTGGTGACTCAGTTGAGGAGACACTAGCTGTTGGCCTGCTGACCCTGTCTGTGCGAGATAATGTTGCTGGTTGAAGAACTGTTCAGGCTTGTGTGTGAAGGTCGGTAACAGTCCCGGTGCATTGAAATGGTTCTGTATCTCGCGCTGTTGTGCGCTCAAAGTCTGTTGTATGTATGCAGACTGAGCAGATAGTTGATAGGCAGGAGGTGGCTGGAGCAGGGGTTCTGCTTGTCTGGCCACCACCTTGGATTTGGCCTCTTTCAGACATGAGGGGCAGGCCGAGGCCACTGGCACCTGTAAGAAAAACGTCAGTTGAAGCAACATTGCTGTTATTGTCTGTTTGTCGTTATTTCATTACAACGGGAATAAAATCCAATACTAATCTCAGTAAGTTATGGTAGAATCCGAAGATGACAACATTAAATGACAGCGTTTGAGTCGATGTTAATCCGTTGAATTTTGCCAAAATAAGTTACCTCCACATTATTATTATTATTTGTTATGATCATTATCATCATCATTTCAAGGTGTCTGTCAAGGGTTGTGATGTTCAAGAGTGGGTTGTCTGAAAAAGTAGGAGTGGAGTTGACTAATCTGTAATTTATAAAGACATTTGAAATTAGGATACAAAGGAGGACCGGTCTCTTCCTATATGTTCTGAGTGTCTAATGCTTAGCACCGGATGTGTCTTTATGTATGAGCAGACTGCAGGTCATTAGCCACACACCCAGTCCTCGGATGCTGTGGATAATCTTCTGTTATCTGTTGCGAGAGGTTTACTCCATTGGCTTGCAGTACACGATATGACGACGAGGAGGAGGACGTAGCATGACACCAGCGTCGCCATCGCTGGCCTATCCCAACTGAAATGAAAGGAGACAGTGTTAGAATTCGTACATCCAAGTGAATGTGCTTCACTGTGACTATTATGTCCGCTACCAGCCCAACCGTCCACATTCACCCTCGGCAACTCGAGGTCATACTGAACGAATTTTCATTAATTTTGATACTGGCGAGTCAGTGGTACAGTAGACTTATATTCTTGAGAAGTATTTAATTGTTCAAAACATTTCTTGCTTTCATGCAACCCGAATATTAATCAAAATTATCAAACGAAGTCACTAACTACATCAATTTGCTGATAGGTCTGTCAAGAGGGCTCCTTTAAGGATTTCCTTACCAAAATGTTGTATGCATGTATTGTCTCCCATTCGTTCTGAATGCCCAGTCCGTTTTATTCCTCCTGATTTAATTTCGCTAACAATTTTAGTTAAAGAGAAAGGTTGTGGAAAGGTAAAATTGTTCGTCTACTTAATTAAACTTCCCTCTCCCCATGAACACGCCTGAGGAACAGCTGCATCTTTCGTAGGTTCAGACATTTTCCTCGACACGTTGAAACATCTTCTTGCCTAAGTACTGGCCTAAATGCCATTTTGGCTCGTGCTGAACGAAGGAACAGGAGAGTCCTGTACCCCGTAATGCGATGACGATTGAACGAAGTGCAATAACCTTAGAAGTTGTTTTGACTTTCTGTGTGGGCGTACGTAGCAGGTCGAGGTATTTTTAAAACTGCAGACTTATATAAACTTGGGCCGCAGAAAGAAGTCTCATTTTGCGACCCCCTCCCCTCCCTCACATCTTCCCGTAGCTTGCTTTCTTATTTTCCCTGTAGCTGTTTAGCGGTTCTGTTGCACGAATATTGATATTAATGACCACGTGATCAACTCTGGGTTGGTTTGCCATGAGCCGGAAGGGGATGGAGGGGAATACATTCTTAGTCAGAGAGGGGGAAGCCTCAACCGCGGTCATCCTCCCCCACCGTCCATGGGACTTCTTTCTGTTACCTCACTATAGGCTGTGTTTGAAGTTGCTACAAAATTCGGAATACTTCAGTTTTGTGATGACGAAACATTGTTACATCATAGAAAATGATACATGATTTGCAAATCGTGCAGCAAAGACGAGTTAATTAGACGGCTGAATTTTAGTCACTTGTGCGTACAGACAGACACGACAAGTACATATGAATTTCTGTGGAACAGGCGCACTGCGTTAGTTCGGTGACGTGTAATTACTTCTAATGATACTAATTAATGTTTTAATAATGCACTTCCTTGGGTGCATTATTTTCAAAGCCGTTTAAATTGAATTCTTTTCCATGAGCTGGAGAAGGTTCTTCACACCTGACCTAGTTCTATTCAAACGAAGTGGGCTGTGAGGAACGTAATCTAAGAAGGCCTTGGGAGTAACAAATGGAAAACAACTGGGAACTGTTTGGTTCCGTTACAGCAATTGCTGCGAAGTCCGTCTCCTGTGTCTCTGCGTTTGTGATCCCTATAAACACGGGATCTTGTTGTCCATGCAGCGGTTCTAGTGGGGCTCAGTGTATTTTGTAAGGCGAGCAGTTGGCTGAAACGTAAAAACATTGGAAAGGGGAAGTAATAGGCAGAAATCGTGTGGTCTTCATCTAACTGGCTGAGGTTACATTCTGGTTATTATTGATTGGGATTTTGTGAACACGGTCTTATAAGTTTAGGTAAAAGGTAATAACTGGCCGTGGAGGCCCGTAGGGTTATGAGACGTCGAGGTTGCCAATCGGCTCACAGATGGCGGTGAGGTTGGCAGCCTTACGCGCCGGCCCCCCTTTAACCCCAGGAAGATTCCTGATACTCATTTCTGTTAGAGACTGAGTCGACCCCTCGGGGCATAATGCCGCTGGAAGGATTAGGTCAATTGAGAAATCCGATGACCTGATCGGGAATCGAACCCACGACCTTCCGGCTTGTAGCATAGTGCCTCAACCAACTACGCTACCGCGTAGAATTTCAGGTACGTTAAACAGCTAAGCAACGACCACTGTTTCAATGGAAACCATTGATCACGAAGGCCTTAAATTCCGACTCGAGCACCGAGACGCTATGAAGGAAATTCCTCCTTGTGCCACAACAGTGAAAGCAGGATATTCTGCAGGAATGCGATTGTACGAGCGGCGCACAGCGCAACTTTCAGGTCATTCAAGAGAGCAACGAAACTCAGGAAAATGAATGTTATGGAGAGTAAGGCGAAGTCTGCATCGTCTTGTTTCGTGTGGCGACATTGAGTTAGCTTTCGTCTCAATGGAATGAAGTCAACAGCTGAACGGGCAACTAAACTGGGACTTCGTGTTGCTCACAGAGCAAATACATGAATTGTAAACAATTGCTTCATTCTGAATTAGAAAAGAAATGTTTCTTTCAGTTGTTACTATTGTTTCAAATAACAACGGATTTATCATTTGCATATAATGATTACAAGAATGTGAAACGCCCTCTGATTTCCGTTCGAGATGTCAGCAGCATTTTGAATTGCCAACATCACAGAACATAAATTCCTGTGAGAAAAGTGACTATCACCAGAGGAGTTTGTTTTCAATGTAGACATTTACGCATTCGCTACCTACCACCCCTCCCACCTGGATGACAGGGCTGGGACAACGAGAACACAAGTTCTCCGGCAGTAGGGAAGAGGACAAAGTTAATTTGAAAAGAAGGGATTTTTTTTTGCCAGCGTAATTATTTTTATGGATGTTTCTTATGAAGTGTAGCGTTTGTTGGCTTTTTATGAAAATGGCCGCAACCGGAAGGAAGAAATGAATACATTCCTGCATTATGCAAAGTATCTAGAAACAAACAAACTCTCCATCGCGTTGCTGCAATTCAATGCGCCGCCAAATACGGCACGAAGAAAAGTTTTCGAATATCTGACGGAAGGGAATCAGCTGTTTACACGTTAGTTATACGTTACAACTTGTTATGAGCTTCTGCGCGTTTTAAATAAAACAAAACAACTGTCGATATTGTCAGCATTCAGTCAGCATAGTCAGGTTCTCTGGAGGCAGTCAGAGGGAGCAAGATCTGAGATTCTCACAGCGGTCACTATGAAGATTACTGTGCCACAAGCCGTAAGGTCGCGGGTTCGATTCACAATGAGGTCATTGAATTTTTCAATTGAACTAATCCTTCCAGTCGCACTATGGCCCTGGGGTCGACTCAGCCTCTAACAGAAGCGAGTACCAGGATTGTTCCTGGGGTTAAAGGGCGGCCGACGTGTAAGTCTGACAACCTCACCGCCATCTGTGAGCCGAATGTCTAGGAAATGTGGGAGCCTCTCAACCCTATGGGACTCCACGGTCTGTTACAGGGATAGCTTTACAGGTATCGAAATTCCTGAAAGTTCCACCTGTGATGCTGATTGAAACGTTATGGATAGCATTTCTTGCTGACCAGTTTCTGTAAATGTAGCAGTGCAACCCGAGGCGTACACACGCAAGCGACGAACCGTGCGTCACGTTGCGTGAGCTGGCCAACGCTTCACGGTAATTAGGGCCGGCCGGGTGACCGTAGATGTGGCGCGGGGAAGCAGCATTACGGGCGAAACCGGTGGGTTACTCTGTACCTGTCTTCTAGTGATCTAGTGATCTAGTGCTCTCACTGGGATACGATGAGTTGGGCACGAAGTGCGAATGATGGCGAAAATGAAACACAGACAGAAGGATACACATAGAAATTAGGCACATCTTCTGAGACGTGGCTCCGTTTAGTCTGGTGTAAGTATACTGAAGTTTCGAAGGAACGTACCCCCTCCATCTTCAAAAGACTTACGCGTTTTCTATAGCGACTATACGACCGATAGTTTTATATCAGGAGTACTATCTATTTGTATGTGACACCGTATAGTCTGGCAGAAATTTACTGAATTTTGAAGGAACGCACTGTCCCCGCCTTCAGGAGCGAAGAGCTCGCCGATCAAAACAAGGCTTAAGCGTCAAGCGAAGTAAATGTCAGTGACTGCTACCAGACAACACTGTGTCACATCCCAAAGCTAATGAATAGGTAAAGCTATCCCTGTAACAGGCCGTAGAAGCCCATAGGGTTACGAGACGTCGAGGTCACCACATTTTCTAGACAATAGGTTCACAGATGGCGGTGAGGTTGTCAGGCTTACACGCCGGCCGCCCTTTAACCCCAGGAAGATTCCTGGTACTCATTTCTGTTAGTGGCTGAGTCGACCCCAGGGCCATAGTGCGGCTGGAAGGATTAGGTCTATTAAAAAATGCAATGACTTGATCGGGAATCGAACCCACGACCTTCCGGCTTGTAGCGAAGTGCCTCAACTAAGTACGCTACCGCGTGCCTCGATTTTCGTTCACTGTGATCGCGTTTTCATGCAGACCGGTTCAGGAGCAGGGGCGAATTGTATTGAATTCAGCAGCACGCCGTGGCTCTCACAGTAAATTGGATTTTCGCCAGAATAACACGATCTTACGTCACAGTCTTAAAGCGTGACACACAGCTCAGCTCTGTGATTCCACCAAGTCTGGTAAATTGATTCACAATCGAAATCGATTCGTCTTGAGAAATCGATATTTAAGCGTATGTACATGGACGTTACTGCGAAAACCTGGAGATAATCACCACAAAACATTGCCATTGGATTTCATCCATTTCACATCTTTACTTTTTGCTTACTGAAGATGCATTTGTTGTTTTCATCCGAAGCATGTTCGTTTTATTGCTGTATGGTGTGTTCTAGACGTCCAGTCCATCTCATTTAAATCACTAGATCCCGCTTTAATTGGTCTGTCAAGGTGGCCGCGCTAAGGTATGAACTGTCTTCACTCGCTCGAACACTGCGGTCGTGGGTTCCAATCCCACTCGAGGCATGGATGTTTGTCACCATAGTCGGTCTCACGGGATCTCCCGAATACGAAGTTGCATTTCTGCTCGCTCGACCGCGACGTTTCATGAGCGCTCTGGAAGTGAAGACGATAATAACAGGAGACTGGGTGAAGTGGCGATGAAAAAGGAACGAGTTTCTGATATGGAAAGAAACTCCGTGCGCTTTCTTTGGGACGTACGGACGGACGTGTTTAAGTCTCGTTAAACAATTAGAATGGAGCAACTTTTCTTTTGTAGAAAGCTGTGAAGACAATTCTGCTCTCAAAAAAGGTGACAAACTACACGATACTTTCTGTGCTTGCTTGCTTGCTTCATGTTGGTTTCTTTCTTGGTTTACTCTCGGACCTGAAGGTAGAGGCGCTATGTTCTTCCGAAACGTCGGTTGACTTTTACAGCCCTGCATGACGTTATATCCCAGAAGATATGTGATCCTTTGACATTATCGCCTTGTGGGATGTGACGCCATGTTATTTGGTAAGTAGGCACCTACGTTTCGGAGGAACCTGCTGCCTCCAGCTTCAGGTTTCAGAACAGCGTGTTTATGAGGGAGATAGCGTGTTTCGAAGGGGTTGATGTGACCTCGTGGAAAGGGACCCGCTTCGCTGCCGAAAGCGACCTGTTCCAACGCTTTTTTCCAGAGTAGGTCATGGAAACAGCTGTTGCGCGCATTCCAAAGCCCCCTATGACTGCAGGTCCGTAGTGGCTGAGCGGGAGAGAAACCAGCGCTGTCTCACGGGAGAAAGTTCACTGGGTAAGAAAAACTGGTCTACTTCCAGAACTGGTTTCCTGCGACCTTCCGAATCGGATGTGTGGACTGCGCGGAAATGACGTATGGGGCCATGAAATCGAGAAGTTGCTGAAGGAACTTTCCATCCACATGTCGCGGTCTTCATGTG